GTAAGCAGAAAGTTTATTTTATAATTAGATTTAAAAGAATATTGATCAATTTAACAGTTTATTTAATAATGATAATAATGGAATACTGTTTTAGTTAACACTCTGTACTATATAATTATATTAAGGGAATTAAACTAAACTATTTTATAAAACTACTTATTAAACACATTGCTAAGTTAAAAAAAAATATCTTCTATTTATATAAAATAAAATACATAAAGTTATCAAAGATATAAAAGAAATAAATATAATATATGAAATAAATATAATATAATAAATATATAATATAAATAAAATAAAATAAATAAATAAGACATATTGTATAAAAGAAATATAGGTCATAGATGATATAGAAGACATATAAAATATATATAATTTCCTAGAGATCGACATCATCCTTTGGATTATCATTATCTATGTCTTCTTTTATATAATACAATAGCAATCATAATTATTTGACCCCAAATATTTTCTGAAGTTATATGATAACCTATCATGAAAATTCACATGATTTAAGTTCAATAATAATCTTAATCATCTGCAAAATTATAGGTTCGTATAATGTATAAATCAGAAGTTAGATAATTAGTGAATTTACGTCACAAAAAATGACGCTTTCTCTTAATAAATGATATGAAATTGCTTTTTTACATGAACATCCAAAAGATCCAAAGTGGGACTATAAAAAAATAGCTTCTTATGTTGGTTATAGTAAGTCTACAGCAATTTATTAGGTCTGAAAATACCATCTAGATAAGAATTTAACCGATAAACAAAAGTCAAGTTGATCTCACAGCATGATCAAGATACAAGACAAGAGAATTGTGAAAATGGCAATGAAAAAACATGATATTATGGCTATTAAAATACAAAATAAATTTAAAAAACAAGGAGTTACAATTAATAAAAGTACAATTAGGCAATGTCTTGGTGAGTCTGAGAGTAAATTTGAGAAAGAAATTTCAAAACCTTTGCTTTCTGAAAAGCATAGAACTGCCCGATTGAAATGGGCAAAAAACATCAAAAATTCGATTAGAATAAAATTATTTTTACTGATGAAAATACCTTTCAATTATTCTAGTCAAATAGAAAGGTCTAGCAATTTGCTCAGAAGAAAAAAGTATTTCGTATAGTCAAGCATTCACAGAAGGTTCACATTTGAGATTATTTTTCATTTAAAGGATTTGATAAATTAATTTGCTTTAAATGAAATCTGGATGTTCTTTTTATAAATAGTATTTATGAAAGGGGTCTCTTATCTTCTACCTATGAGTTTTTTTGCTAAGATAGTATAGAGTGAATTTTGCAAGAAGACAATGATCCTAAGTACTGTTCAAAATTTTGTAAAAAATGGAAAGAAGAAAATGAGGTGACTGTACTGCCTTGGCTGTCTATGTCACCTGACCAAAATCTGATAGAAAATGTGTGGCGGCTTATGAAAATTAAAATATCAAAAAAAATTGGTATAACTAGAAGATTAAGGGCGGAATTAACAAAAGAATGGAACTAATTATCAATTGAATTAGCTAAAAAAACTCATTAATAGTATAGAAAGGAGGGTTGTAGCATTAATAAAAGTAAGAGGAGACTATACTATGTATTAATAATCAAAATTGGTCTTGGATTTTATAATAATAAAAAAATTTTTTATTGTTTATTAATTATTTTTTAAATGGCAAGAAGTCGAATACTTATGATTCCTACTGTACTATATTTTCAAGACATTTTTCACAATGAGAAACTAAATGCTAACGCATTTTTTATAGTTTACCTTCAGACTATTCATATTGATAATATATACAAGTAGCTTTATAGTGATTATGAAATATTTTTATTCCTTTAATTACATATTTTCAAATTAAAGTAAATTTTCTACCACCTCCTTTTTTTTACTTTTACTATCATTTATTTCATTAGTATCTTTTGAAAAAAAGACTTAATATTTTATTAATATTTACAAATAGTAAAAAATTTGAAGAAACTTTATTCATGTTTATTTAAAAGAAAAATAATAATTTAAAAATTATCAAAAAATTTTATCAGATATAAATAATTGATTATCAATCATTTTATCAGATATTATAACTTATTTATCAATTATTTTATTAGAAATGATAAATTACTGATTATCAATTATACCATTTTATTTAATATGATTTTAATTACGGTAATTATAATATTTATAACATTTGATGATGCACAACTTATTTTTGTTACAAATTATATTTTAAGTTATAACAAATTATGCCTTATCATTATGCTTTAAGTTACAATTAATTATACCTTATTTTTTAAATTATGACATAATTTTATTTATAACAAATTATAACAAATGTTGCAACAAAATTATAAAATTTTACAATTATAACATATTATTAAATTAATTATGGGAACCATTTTTAATATTTTTATTAATTATTCTTTAAGTTATATTTAATAATATGATAAGTTATTTTTTAATATATTTTTTATAAATCTTTATTTTTTTTTAATAAATTTTAATTATAATATAGTCAACTCTTTATAAATGTATTCCCCTTAGAACTATGTATAAAGATGCATTTAAGATGATAAAATATATATAAATCTATATAAAATTAAGGTAATACAAAAAATTTATAGGTAATCTATATAAAATTTTTTTATAAAGAGTGTATTTATAAAAAGTATATATATTGTCACCAAGTTCATTTTCATTTATCTTAACATCTAAATTAAAAGGCTGCAGTAGCTGATTCTACACGTTATCAACAGAGCAATTGACTAGTCATAATGAAGTCACGTAGATGATGCAGTATGATGATCTCTTAATCAGAATTCTGAAAATACTGAGAATTCTGCAAATTCTGAAAATATTTTGCTAAATTAGTTAATTTATAGCATAGTAATTAGTTAGTTATAACAAAAGAAATTTTGTATAAATAGATAGACTTTTTGCTTATATTATAAATTAACTCTTTTGCAGATTTATAAAACTCTTTTTTGAGTACGAATTTTAATATTAATAAAGGAATCATTTAAAACTTATATCTTTCTGCCTCTTCATATCTTCATATAGTCTGACGTGATCCCTACATATTATTTATAATTGAGTTTATCATCTGAATTCTTTAATTAAATTGTTCATAATTTCATCTTTCAAGTCCTCATACTTGATAGATTTGTTTAAGTCTAACGTGTAAATTTGGTAAAGTTAAGAGTTAGGCGAATTTTAATGTCTTAACTGCAGTAGACCGCAGTTAGAAATTTTGAGTAGAGACTTAATAATGTGACTACCCTGAGTTGAAGAATTCTATGGTAATAACGTTAGAGTTTCTGATCTTAGGATTTTCTTTAAGTTCTACAGGTATCCATTATACTTGAATCAACTCAGCAATTTATCACATCTTAGAATTTAAGATATGTTAGTCAAACTCGTAATGATAAACTCAATAGCAAGTTAATGTAGTGTATCACAATAATCTTAAGTGAAAGACAATGTTAAAGAGAAATGTAATTTGTATGGATTTAAATTGATTCCTTTATTTATAACTTAAAACTCGTAAGTAACTTACAAATGAGTTTATAAACTTACAATTGAGTTAATTTACAACTTAAGCAAAAAGCTATTTTATTTATACAAAATAAATTTGCTATGGCTAACTACTTGTTACACTATAAATTAACTAAATATAAATACATACTTCAATAAAAATATACTTAAATATATTAAAATAATAAAAATAATATAAACTATAAAAATAATAAAAAGAAATAAAATAAATTACAGACATTAAAGAAATTACAGATGAAATAGAATAAATAGAATAAATAGGCTGTATAGAAAATACAGAAGAAACAGGTGAATCAGGTGAATTTTGTAAATTCTTCAAATTAAATAAATTAGCCTGATTTTCCAATGCAATACATCGATCAAAATCTTCTTTAATATGATTTACATAAATTAAATCTAATGACTTTGTAAATCATTTTTCTAAAGCAAATTTTCAATGCTGACAATATATAAAAAAACATGCATTTAACATAAAAATACAAGTTGAAATCAGATAAAAAAATGTATTTATAAAGGGTATGTTATAGAGAATGCATTTATAAAAAGTTAACTGTATTTCTTTATTCTTTATTTAATACAATTTCTTAATTATTATAAAATTTTAATCATTTTTTTAATATTCTTTTATATTATCTTATTCATTTTTTATCGTTATTATTTGTATAATATTTTCTGATATTTTTTTAATTATTTCTTTTTCTATATTTGTGTCTTTATCATCAGATTCTTTTTTATTATTTTTCTAAATATCTTATCATATTATTATGTTTTATCTTATATATTTTACAATATTTATTTATTATTTTTCAAATATATTTCTTTATTCATATTTCTTAAAATTATTCTTTTTTTATTTATATTTTTTAGATATTCTTTTTAGATTCATATTTTTCAGATATAATTTTTCTTAATATTATTTTTTTCTTTATTATGTTTTTTTATAATAATCTTAATTTTATATTCTTTTAAATTTCAATAAATAATATAATCTTATAAATAATATTAATATAATTACTAGTTTTTAGAATATTTTTAAAATTATTTTGTTAATAATATAAATTTAAAAAATATATTTTCATATATAGTATTTCTATATGATAATTAAAATATAATTTAATTTCAGTTTAATATTAAATTTTTTTATTTAGGCCGCTCTAACAAATAGTTTCGTTTAACATCACATGGCGTAAAAAAAATTGAGGGAGACGGGAGGGTTAAATTTAAACATAATAAATTTTAAACATATATATAAATCACGTGATTCGTAAAACTTGTTTAATGATCGATCTCTGACAAAATTACAAATACCGTATTTGTAAAATTTACACGTGAAAAAAATCTTCTCTCTCTCCTAATTCTGCACAAAAAGAAAGTTTTATCAAACAAAGAAAAAAGAAGAGAAAGAAATACAAGTGATACCTTTTCCTTTTATAATTATATCTATCAAATGTTATATTTGTTTGTGACAGTATATGAAAATGGAAAATCTTTAGTAAAATCATCAGTAGTTAGTATTGAAGAGTTCAGAAATTTTGAAGATTTATTAAAAACAGCACTATATCGAAAAGAACTGTTTTTTGAAGAAATGTTAGTTAAAATTGATTTTCAATGTAATGATTCTTCAGTTTGGTATCCTATATTAAGTGGCCTTGATGAAGATTTGGAAGTGTGTTCTCAATTGAAGGTGTAGCATGTCCGTTTTATAATAGATTCAATAATAAATCATCCTGATGAGTTGTTAGATGAAAGAGTTTTAGCATTTGATCTTATGATGGCACAACAATATCTAAAAAACTTCTACCACCTTGTAACATCCAATTTCATACGGATGTACTCTATAATGATTTTTTAAAAGTTTTGCAAGAAAGAAAATTGGGATGGCTTAATAATAGTCATATGACTATTGGACATGCATTTATTCGTAAAGTTACCGATTTAGTATAGTATTTGGATCCTCATCTTGGTAAATTGAAGAAACGCAGCTTGAAACTACTGGTAATTATAGCAAAACTCCCTGTATATGCTTCTAAAAGTTACTATAATCTTTATGATGATACTATGAAACGTAAAAAAAATGAAATATCACGGGAAAAACTTGAATCATTTATTAAAGCATTGACTTTATCTATTCAACAACCTTGAACAAGTTTATCACATTGGAAAGAAGTGATTAAAGATATTCATGATTTAATAAAAATAGCTCAAGAGTATGCTAATTATCTGCAAGGTGTTAATAAT